AGGAAAAAAAAAAAGTACAGATACCCAGGTTGTGTTTAGCTCCTCTTGACTCTCTGGCCCTTTTGGTGACATTCCACTGGTATCTGCCTGTCCCTGTGGTGCTGGCTTCATAAAACATAAGGGGCATGGTCACCTCTCGATTCTTGTCTTAGGATGGGCAGCTTAGCCTATATGCCAGGCTTACTTGATCAGTAAGCCACAAATATTTGTTTAGTATATGTATTCATATGCCAGGCCCAGTACAGGAACTATGAAATGCAACCAGCCTCTGCTGCTGACTTTGGACTGATACTCTTTAAATATCTGTTTTAACTATTATTTAAGTGGGGCCACTTCTTTAATTGCTTGTGTGATGGGCGGAATTCCAAGGTGGCTCCAAGACGCTTGCCCCCAGTATCACTGTGCTGGTTATATTGGTTTATGTGGCAAAAGAGGTTTTGCAGGTATAATTACGGTCATTAATCAGTGGACCATAGAAGAGATTATCGGGGTGGGTCTAATCTAACCATATTACCACTTAAAGTGTTCTCCAGCTGGTCGTGGGGAAAAAGTCAGAAATTTGAAGCAAAGGAAGGATGTGAATGCCACTGCTGGCTTTGAAGATGAGAAAGGCCAATGCAAGGAGCAGAGATCAGCCTTTAGGAGCTGTGACCAACTCCCCACTGAGAGCAAGGAAAGCAGGGACCTCACCTCAGTCCTACCGATCATAAGGAACTAAACTCTGCCAACAACTTGAATGTGCTTGTAAGTGGATTCTTCTCCAGAGCCCAGCTTTGATTTTAACTTCCTGAGACCCTATCTACAGAAACCAGTAGAGGCCCTCTGGACTTTTGACTTACAGATTGTGAGATAGTAAATGAGTATTGTTTTAAGATGCTAACTCTGTGGTAGTTTGTTATGCAGCAATAGAAAATGAATGTAAGGTCGGATGTGGTGGCTCATACTTGCAATCCTAGAACTTTGGGAGGCCAGGGTGGGCGGATCACCTGGGGCCAGATGTTGAAGACCAGCTTGGGCAACATGGCAAAACCTTGTCTCCAAAAAAAAAAAAAAAAAAAAAAGATACTAGCCAGGCATGGTGGTACATGCCTGTAGTCTCAGTCTCAGCTACTGGGGAGGCTGAGGTAGGAGGATCACTAGAGCCCAAGAGGTCAAGGCTGCAGTGAGCCAAGATTGTGCCACTGCACTCTAGCCTGGGCAACAGAGTGAGACCCTGTGTCAAAAAAAGACAATCAGAAAGAAAGAAAGAGATAAAGAGAGAGGGAGAGAGGGAGAGAAGGAGAGAGAGAGAAGGAGAGGAAGGAAGGAAGGGAGGAAGGGAGGAAGGGAGGAAGGGAGGAAGGGAGGAAAGGAGGAAGGGAGGAAGGGAGGAAGGGGAAGGAAGGTGAGTATAGCTCATTTCCAGAGTTTCAGTGCAGCCCGTAGTTGTACTGTGCAATTTGCAGTGTCATAAGAAAAGGTTTATGAGGAGACTTTATTTGTTTTTAGTTTAATTATTATTATTTTTTTTTTGGAGGCAAGATCTTACTCTGTGACCCAGGCTGGAGTGCAGTGATGTGATCACAGCTCACTGCAGCCTCAATTTCCTGGACTCAAGTGATCGTCCCACCTCTCAGCCTCTCAAGTAGCTAGGATAACAGGTGTGAGCCACCATGCCTGGCGAAGTTTTTGCTCTGTGTGTGTGTGTGTGTGTGTGTGTGTGAGAGAGAGAGAGAGAGAGAGAGAGAGGACGGTGTTTGGTCATGTTGCCCAGGCTGGTCTTGAACTCCTGGGATCAAGTGATCCTCCCGCCTCGGCCTCCCAAAGTGCTGGGATGAGAGGAGTGAGCCACCATGCCCAGCCTTAGCTTAAGTTTTAAAAATTCCATTTGGGCTCCTGTCAGTTTTGTTGGGGACAGTCTATGGCAGATACTGTTGACTGACTAATTATTCCTTGCTAAAGGGACCCTAATTTTTTTCCCCCAGTGCAGATCCTTTGATTCCATGGAAGGCATGCCCAAGTCTAAGGTGAGCAGGCTTATGATCCAATTCTGGCCAATGAGATTTAAGTAAAAGGCTGTTGAGGGGCTTTGGGAAAAATTTTACTTCTTGATATAAGAGACAGAAGCTGAGAAGAAAAGCTCTGCATCACACTGTCACCTGCTTCCTGCCTTCCAAGGTGATGTGATGATGTGCTGCAACCGTCTTGTGACTATGAGCAGGAGGCCCTGAGAATCACAGAAATGCTGACTAAGGGCCTTGATGCCTTGGAACCAATGCTACTACTCACACCTAGATTAGAGAATTATATTTATTTGTTTATAATCTATATAATTATAATTATATAGATTAGTTAGAGAAAAATATTTATTTGTTTCAACTGTAGTTCATTGAGTTTTAATGGTTTATAGCTGAAAGCAATACAGAATTTGGGTCCTCGAAGTGGAATACTGCAGGAAACACACTTTTTGATAGGTCAGAGTGGAGGATGCAGACTCAACTCTCAGGCAGGTAAACCTTCGGTATAGCAAAATATTTAAGCAACCATTGGTTTGATCTGTCTTATAATGCAGACCACAGGTTGACTGAGGTTGGAGTGGCCTGGGAAATGAAAGGAAAAATTCAGGATGTTCCTTTGTGTTGGGTTATTTTAGTGGCTGTTAGCAAAAAAAAGTCCTACTATGAGAGGACCAAGTTAGATAGGTAATCTCTAATCTGAGAGGAAAGAAAGTATGACTGCTTAGAAAGATGCTTTCTAAATGTGACCTACAGTCTAAATGAACAGAATTCCATACTTTGTAGGGCTGGGGAAGGTGTCTTTGATATCTCAAGTTAAAACAAGCAGAGGCAGGAAAGTGGCATCTTTAAGACCGATAAAACTGGATATTTTTTAGCACAAAAACCTGATTGTGTGAGTTAAACACCAGAGGATTTAGAAGAGTGCAGGATCTAGCTGCAGAGAGACAAGGATTCTTAGCCTCAAAGACTGTCTAGACGAGATCTTTAGCTGTGGTTACTAATGCAAGGAATTGACCAGACACAAATAGACGGAATCTACTAAGTTTTTGAGAGGACCTTTATTGCTAAAGATACTCCAAGCCTCACCAATAACTGCATGTAATTATTGAACCCCAAAGGCAATCTTTAGCTGTCTGAATTTGTACAAACATGCAGGGGTTGCTAACATTCGAGAACTTTCTCTTGAATGCTCATTTTAGAAACAGGCATTAAAAATAGTGCTTAAGGAATATCTTTCTAGAGGGAAGAACCAGAGGCTATGGAAGAAAAATCTGGAGATTTTCGTCAAGAATAGAACCAGGAACTGTCAGATTGACTAATCAGAGACTGTCTTCATTGAGAGGGCAGGCATTTCTCACTATGTCTTCCTAACAGAATGAAGTATATGCTGGCAAATATTAAAGATTCAGTCTTTTCCAACAATTGTATATTAGATGTGTTGGAAGCAGGAAACCTGATTTTTGGAGAAAATTTCCAGACCTAAAAGAACTTATCTCTGGACCAAATGAAGATTGAACATTCCCTAGAGATACTACATTTGGAAGTGAATGTAGTAGTTAGAGGAATGTCGTAGTTTTCCTCCCTTGGGGAGAAGGGTAAGTATACCTAAAAACAGCATGTGTAGGAAGAAGGATGTGTGTGGATGTCAGATTGCTAAAGGGCTGGACTGTGGCAGGCACTGTGAGCTGGCTACCTAAAAGCACTACTTACCCAGCTTTCTTCCATATTAATTATCTTAGTCATCCACCTCCACACTCCCTGCTCACCACCCCAGCACTTTTTGGACAGAATTCCCTTGATTTCAGGAATAGTGAACTTAGTCATAAAACCTGGTGTGGGCATGTGATCCAAATCTAACCAATAATACAAAAGAAGATGCCTTCTAGAAGTTTCTGCAGGTAAATGGTCCCACTTTTGACATGTTATTAAATTGCTAAACTTACAACAGCAATCATCTAAGTCTAAATTTGTTATGTGAGATGAAAGAAATTCTTATTTAAGTCATTATTTTTGTTTATTTTTATTTCTTATAGGCAAACATTTGTTACAATTAAAAATTTATATTTTTGTCATTATGTAAATCAGGGAGTTGCCAAATTATAGTGTGTGCATCCAATCCAGTCCACTACCTGTTTTTGTAAATGGTTTTAGTAGAATATAGCCACTCCCATTCATCTATATAGTTGATGGCTGCTTTCACATTACCACTCAACAAGTTGAGTAGTTGCAACAGAAACCACACAGCCTGCAGAACCTAAACAAATTCCATCTGACCCATTATAGAAAAATTTGCCAACTCCTGCTCTAAAGAGTCATACGTAGAAGTCAGTTTAAGTGGAATAAAATATCACTTGTTTTAATAATATTTTAGTATAGTCTTTCCCAAACTTGCCAAGCATGTGAATCATCTGTAGCCTTGGTCATACTTACGTGTTTCAAGATCCTGACCTAAGTCTACTGAATCAAAATATTCAGTGGAGAAATCTGGGAATCTGTATTATTAACAGTTTCCCCACAAGAATCTTTTGACCAGGCAGGTTTGGAAAATGCTGTTGTAGATGAGTGTCGTGGGCAGCTGCTTATAAGGCCCACCATTGAATTTATAACTAGCTCCTGCCTGTAATTCACTGCAAGACTCCCAGTATGACGAGGAGACTGAATAAGATTCTCTGAGATCACAGAGACTTGCTTATGAAATGAAATACAGTGAATAGGAAGATTTTGATGTAGTAAAAGTTGCATCAGCTCTGGAAATGAGAAACCCGGGTTCAGGTTCTAAATCAGCCTCTAATTAATTATTTGATCTTGGGCAAGTTTCTCTCTAGAACCTAAGATTCTCAACTGTAAAAACCTCAGTAGGAGGGGATGTCTCCAAGTTGCCTTTTTGGAAATATGAATGTCAGACTCAGAAAGTAGGAAGTGCCTAAGGAAGAAAGACAAATATAGTTTCTCTGTTTCTTGAAATTCTTGTCTTCTTGATCAGGGTTCCTCAATCCTGGCTGAACATTAGAATCACCATAGAGCTTTAAAAACACCAGTGCTGTAGGTCTCACCCAGAGAGTCTAATTTCATCAGCCGGGAGGAGAGCCTAGCCATTAAAATATAAGCTTTCTAGGTGATTCCGTGTGTTCAGTCAGATGGAGAACCACCATCTAGATGGTAATAGATTCTTTTTTTCTATTTCCTAGTCAAGGGTTATATATACATACTAGTTTCACCATTTGTGAAACACAATAAATAAGAAGAGAAAACAAGATCAGTAGTTCTCAAATACTGGTGAGTCAGGAAGGCTGCAAAAAATTATGAGGAGAGCCTGTTAAAAAATATAGCTCTGTAGGCTCCACCATCAGATTCTGCTATAGTAGCTCCAGGGCCAGGAAATCTATATATTTTTTATTTCCTCAGGTCCTCCTAATACTCAACTGGTTTGGGAACCATCGGGCCCAGTGATCTCTGATGCTCCTTCCAACTTGTAGGATGTGAATTCCTGTGTTTAGTTATATAAGAGGTAAGTCACAATTTTAAGAATATTTTAAAAAGGCAATTGGTACTTCAAGATAAAGAGATTATAAAAGGGATGTTATCAAGCAATAGGAATGGGCCTGAGTGAGGTACTAGTTGATAAAAATTTGCTTACCTGTTTTACTGTCACAGAAAGAGCCATAAGGATGTGTCCACACAGTTCAATTATTTCCCCTTGGGAGTACTTGAAAAGGTTCTTCCTTTGGCCTCTTTATTTGCAACTGTTAAGTTCTAGTTGAAAAGAACTAAAACACTTCTCTCAAATGGGTTAGATGTAGTTTATCAAACTATATATTATATACAGCAAATTGCAAATGAAATAAAGTATGGCCATAATCTCGTCTTGTATTTACTACTAATCCCTTTAAATTCTGGCATTAATAATTCCCCGCACTCATTCATTCTTTTGTTCATTTATTCATTCACTCAATAACGAATTTAAAGTTCTAACTGTGAGCCAGGAACTGCTCTAGGCCCTGGGGATACAGCAGCAAACATGAGTCTCCTTCCTTTCAAAGCTTACATTCTAGTTGGGGAAGTTGGTAATAAATAATTAAAGTATTACATGGTGTTAATTGTTAAGGAACATAAGACAATGTAAGGCGATAGAAAGTGGCGGGAGCTGGAGGAAAGTGTTATTTTAGATAGGTAATCAGGGAACGCTGCTCTGTTATGGTAATATGTTAGCAGAGACCTAAAGAAAGTTAGAGAAAAGTCATGGTGATATCTGGGGAAAGTATTATACAGAGGAAACAGCCAGTGCAAAAGTCCTGTGGCAGGAAGGTACTGGGCAGGATCTGGGATCAGCAAGTGGCTACAGTGGTTTGCATGGAGTGAGTAAGGGTGGGATTTTGGAGATGGGTCAGAGAGTAGCAAGCCGTCATCATGGGGGCTTGACAGGCCAGTTTTAAAGTCTTTGTATTGAACTCTGAAAATCAAGGATGGATCCCGCATTTGAAGCTTATAATCCTGAGGCTTTCTATAAGTAAAATAATACAAAATTAGCTACAAACCTAATATTTATTTGGAATGAAAAAAATCATAATAATATCAGTTTTAAAAGATATACACACACCACAAAATCCAAAAACAAAAACAAACCCAAACCATAATAATTTTACTGTGACACCTCTCTGTATTACTTTTTTCTCCTTTTATTTTCTTTAAAGGTATAAACAAAGCTAATTGCATTACTTTTTCCCTCTTCATTAGTTTACACTAAAATATCTTAGATTATTCATATTATTTTCTAACATCATTTTCAATAGGAAGAACTGAAGATAATTCAGTCTTTCCTGTAGCTTGTTGGTACAAAATTTATCTTTTTATTGTTGATTTCATGGAAAAAATTTTCTTTAATTTTATAACTCATTATTGCTAATGATATGTATGTTTTTTAGAATTGTTGTCAATTTGAGAAAACTTTTCTCAACTTTCTTTCTTTATATGACCATAAGATTTGTAGGAATTTTCTGTGTACTAGCTTCTGGCTGCATATATTTCAACCCCCTTTTTCCCTCTACTAGCCACATATTTCTGGTATGATGAAGACAAGTTCCTATCTTATAACCTCAGGCTATGAACTTTAATGTCACAACGTAGATTGGTACAGAGGATGACAGAAGTATTCCTGGAAGCCATTCCAACACCAGGAAAATTTTTACACTGAAGTAACTGTGAACCACAATAATACATCCTACTAACCCAAACTAAATGCTTCTCTAATTCAACTTCTCCTTCCCTGGGCCTGCGAGTGTCTATGTCTATTCTCACACCACTTGACTTAAAGAGAAATGTGACAGAGGGAAATAAGAAATAAAGAGCTTTGGTAAGAATATCTCATGTTTGCAAAGTAAAAAAAAAAAAAAAAAAGACCACATGAGCACATGGCCAGAGCCCCTTCCAGGGCCTTGGAAGAGCTCTGTACAATGAGGGACCCTGAATCTGCAGATTTATTAGCTTCAAGAACGATCAATGTCTGGTGAAATGTGAAGTCACTGGAGGGTTTTGAGCAAAGTATTAACGTGACCTAATTTCAGTGGTAAAAGGATAATTGTGTCTGGGGAGTAAAATATAGGGGAGCAAGCCCGAAAGCAGAGAGATCAGTCAGGAGCCTGAAGTTTAGGTTGCAAAAGAAAAACAAAAACGCAGACATAACTCATTCTGTGTGTTCTAGGAAAGCTGACTCCATTACTCATTAAGCTATTGATGTGTTTCCTAACAATTCGTGCCTGCCTGTGTCAGCATTGTTTCCTTTCTTAGCTATTGTTGAGTCAGCAATTGTAGAGCATTCTCTTGATCTTTTCTCTTCTCAATGTCTTTAAAGTTCAAGTTTTACCAACAATATTTTTGTTATTATGGCGATTTCTCTCCCTATTTGCTGCTGCATAGATGCCTACGGTGCTGGGTGGATGATAGGCCTTTACCTACACTATTTCAGTTCACAGTCTCAGTGCAATCTGTGTCTGGGTTGAGAACTTCCCAGGAGAACTCTTTCCTGTTATTTAGAAACCCTTTAGAACCTGGTAATTTATCACTTCATATTATCGTATATCCCTTTGCCTGATGAAGAACTATCCAACTCACATCTTCAAGGCCTTTAGAGTTTAATAATTTTATTACATTTTGGGGGAAGTTGACTTTACGTTGTGTTGCATTAGAACAGGGATTGGCAAACCTGTTTTGTAAAGGGCCATCCAGAAAATATTTTAGACTTTGTGCACCGTATGGTCTCTGTCAGAACTACTTAACAATGCTATCATAGCAGTAAAGTGACTATAGAAATTATGCAAACAAACGAGAGCATGGCTGTATTCAAGATACTTTTATTTACATAAACAGGCCTCAGGGCTGGATTTGGCTTGCAGGTTGCAGTTTGCTGACTTCTGCTTTAGAAATTTCCTCTAGCTGTTTCATGTTATGTGTCCCAAATCTTAATCTCACGTCACCCCATGAGTCTAGAGTCTCCATCTTTAAAATGAGGACCCTAATATATGTCCTGTGTATCACATAGCATTGTTATAAGGGTCAAATGAGACATTAGTTATAGAAATCTGCTAAAATTTTAAAGTGGCATATGTCTGTGTATTTCTTTTTTCTTTTATTTTTTTTTTGAGACAGAGTCGCGCTCGGTCACCCAGGCTGGAGTGCAGTGGTGTGATCTCAGCTCACTACAAGCTCCACCTCCTGGGTTCATGCCATTCTCCTGCCTCAGCCTCCCGAGTAGCTGGGACTACACGCGCCCGCCACCACGCCCAGCTAATTTTTTGTATTTTTAGTAGAGACGGGGTTTCACCGTGGTCTTGATCTCCTGACCTCATGATCCGCCCGCCTCGGCCTCCCAAAGTGCTGGGATTACAGGAGTGAGCCACCGTGCCCGGCCTGTCTGTGTATTTCTTTCTGTTCCCTACCACTCTACAACACATTTCCCTGCCTCCCACTCCACCTAAAACACATATATAAACATTCAATCACAGAGGAAAATTATGGCTTGTTATCTTATTCTTCTCCTGAGCTTTATGGTGAAAACTGGCTTCCCCAAACATCGCCAAACTACCTGTAATAGCACAAAGCTGAGTTTGTACTCACCATGGTAAGAGAGTCCATAATCTAGATATAGTCTTAATGGAGCCTCAAAAGAGGGAAGGCAAAGTCAGGAAATTTATTGAAATTTTAGAGACTTACCTAGATGAAAGTGGGTCTCTCAATGCAGGTCTTGGTTGGAGTTGGATATGGATTATGATATAACGGGTCAGGGTTAATGGACACAATGAGGTGAGGATTCTGAGGAGGGGTTCAAAGCATCTTGGGGTATATATTATCATTTAATGCTTTCTATTGAAGAATTGATTGATATGTCAGGAAGTTGCTGGAATAAAAAATAAACTCATTTGTAACTTTTATTTTTACGAGCAAATTTCCTGGAATAGTAAAATCATATTTATGAACCCATTGAAGCAGTAAAGTCATGTTAATATAGTCAGTAAGCTGTGTGGATGTAGACGATTTTAATCCTGTCTTAAAAAGAATATTGGAGACCTTCTGTGAGAAAAAGACAGGGAAACATAGATGGGATTGCAGGTTTTACTTAGAAAAGAGCAGAGAATGACTAGTAGAAAAGAAGACAATGCTATAGAGAAGAGGGGAAGAGAGGGCCAGGATGTAAAGGGTTTCTTAGCCAAAGTTTAAAGAAAATTTTGAAACAGAAGAGAAACTTTGGGGAACTAGAAGCTAGGATGTAAGTTATGTCTATAATGTCAAAAGTCAGAAAAGAGAATACTAAAACCTATCAAATATAAATTGTTTTCAATTAGTTGTTCTGGCTGCACAGTTTTATTTTCATGTGCAAGTCTGTGTGAAGACTGAAAAATATGTGGGCATGCTTTTGAGGAGTTTACTTTTTTATTAAAAGAATACATTTTGTTAGTAGAAAATTTTAAATGTGTACGTAAATAACTAGAAGAAAGACAGATAACTCTTAATTGGGAGGTGAAACTCCAGTGAAAATGAATATTAGTAGTCAAAAGTCCAGAGAAGTAAGAAAACTGACCTTCGTTAAAAGTAAATAATAATTTCTTGGTGGAAGAGGAGTGGAGTGCAGACATGGGAGAATGACAGAAGAGAAGGGAGAGGATAAATTAAGAGCATGTTTGGAGGCTGTTGGCTGTTTTGTGGAAAATTGTCAAAGGCCATTGCATTTTTAGGAAACAAAATATTGATCTTAAATCTTAATTTTTTTTAGTTGCTGTGATATTTCAGAGTTTAGGCCAACAACAAAGTAGAGGGTGTAGTACCCAGGACTGTTCTCACTTCTGATACCAGCTAAAAGTTCAGGGGGTTCCCAAAACCATCCTCAGTTTTGATAATTTGCAAGAATGACTCACAGAACTCACTAAAGGCTATTCTACTCATAGTTCCGGTTAATTACAAGGAAAGGATACAGATTAAATCAGCCAAGGGAAGAACACATATGGCACAATCTAGGAG